GTCTCCGTAGACCAATGATGTTTAATAACTTATTTGCTAATTAAATTGTAGTTAACTTGACTCGGTTTGTCTTTTCACATTTCCCTCCAATAATTCGTTTTGATACCCCTTCTCTTTAAGAAAACATGTAGAATCATTCAAAAGTTTTCATATTTCCCTCGTAGTCACGATCTTCCCCATCCAGGTACGTTATGGAGTGTATAACGAGCTCTGTATCGGAGGCAATAACAAGAAATATCGTATCAGAAAAAATAAATTTATGTATTCTTCGAGAGAGGAATGGCTGTTTCTTACACAATCGTGAATGTTTTACGCTTCGACGAATCTTGGGGGTCTTGTGAGAAGTATCTTAATTTCGATCGTGATCATGAAAAATCATTAATTTCAAGTTCTTTGTGTAAAAAATACTACCAGTATTCACTGTAAAGAGAACGTTTTTATATATATCTGTGAAGCAATGTAAATGTTTAACGTGATTAGGCGAAGTGAAGGCCTAGTAACCTCATCCTCGACACTAAGAAAGACATTTTTATAATAATAATAATAATAATAATAATAATAATAATAATAATCTTCATCTTGAACAGGGGAACATGTGATATCAAATTTTATGTATACACTTATGCTTTATTAGTAGGTTAAATTCCAAAGGATGTATTGTTTTATGTGTGTCAATTCGCTGTATTGTCTATTTGCAGTTCATCCGCGCCCTGGAACGCCTCACCATTATGAACGCCACGGTCTCCGTCGACACTTTCTTCATGATGAGCGGCCTTTTGTTGAGTTTCCTCTTCCTGAAAGAGGTCGAAAAAACGAACCGCTTCAACGTCGTCAAATTCTATGTTCACCGATATATAAGGTAATGAATGGTTAATTCAGTTTTTTTTCTTCATTAGTTGCTTGATTGTTAGTGTTTCCGTGCACGTCAACTACTAAGGTTATTAGCCTCGTAAGTGTAGTGCATGTTTATGCTCGAGAGGTGGCGGTGATATATCCCCGTTGGATGGCGAGATCCGGCGCCGACCCACAGTCGACTAGCGGGGTTTTCCCCAAACAGGTATCTCTCACCAGCGAGGCACTGTCGTAGCCGGGACCAGTTCTAAGCTCCCGTCCGGTCTCCTGGTATATGTGGAAGTGTAGTGCATGTTAGTGTGTGTGTGTGTGTGTGTGTGTGTGTGTGTGTGTGTGTGTAAGGGATGAGGGTAGGAGAAGAAGAGGAATGTAAGACCGTGCGCGGGTTGTGGCCGGTTTGTTAGCGTACTGCCCCAGCATTCGCCTGGTATTGACCGGGGTAACCATGGAAAACTACCAATGAGCGCAGCCGGGCACTAGAATTCTCCTCCAGACAGTAACTGAATTCGACCTAGCTAAAAGGCTAGTGTTGAAAATCATGTCACCGTCAGGATTCAAACTTAGAACCAATCAGAGGGACTACAGTGACATCAGATTATGCCCTGAGCTATCTCTCCCCTTTTTTATGGTGATGAGTTCCGTAATTGTAGAACATCTTATTCCCGAGAAGAAGCGATATTCCTTTGCTCTCTGAAACGTGAAATTCGGCGCCGACCAACACGACTTGGGAGGTTTCTCCCTCCACATATTAGCGCCAGCGGGGCACAGCCGCAGCTGAGTCCCGTTTGGTCTGTCGACATGCTGTGATAGTGTAATGCATGCAATTGCTGGTGTGTGTGTGTGTGTGTGTATGTGTGTGTGTGAGAGAGAGAGAGAGAGAGGACAAAATGAGAAAGGAAAGATAGGGTGCTGTTCGTGGCCTATTGGTGTCGGTACTACTCCGGCTACTCCGTCACTATGGATAGGAGAAATCACTAAAACTACCAATCAGAGCAGCCGGCCGCTACAATGTTTGGGCACACAGTAGCTGAATTCCACCCGAGCTGTGTACTGTAGCTAAGTGTGGAAAATCCGCCACTGTCGGGACTCGAAACTTATTTCGTCCGGTTAGAGAATAATAAACGAAATTTATGTGAACGAAGACACTACACAATAGAATAATGTGTGATACGAAGACACTATACAAATAAAATAAAGTCATTGTATTTCAATGCATCTAAAATGTCTTACAACAATTTTAGGAAGAATTGTTTTCCATATCGGTATACAATATTTTAATACATTTTCTCACTGCGAATTTTGCTGCTTCGATCCACAAAATCCAAAAAGATTCGGAATGTCGAAGTTTGTGAAGGATCACGATCCATTTTGAACAATATATTCGAATAAGCTTCACACCTGCATTGCGAGACATTAATAAAAAATACCGTGGGCCATACAAAGTCGTAGATGTAAATGCGACACAGCTGGATAACGACAGCGCCCACTCCACAGCTACAACTTAACAAGTGTTAGATCAATTTGGTTGGGCGGGGGAGAAACATCAAGCCTATCCCGGATCTTGCTCCTAGCTATTTTCACATTTTTCACTAAACTCAAAGAGTTCTTGCGCAGAAAACGTTTCATATCTGGTGATAAATGCTTTATCAAGCAAGGTGGTTATGTAAGTAATGTTAAGACTTACTTATATAAGAGATACAAGTTTTTTGGCAAAAAGAAAAGATTTACAAACTTATTTCCCACGGTCAAACTTTGTCTAGATGACTTTCGTACTTCAGTGTAGTTTCCTTCTGCCCTATCCATCTTATACCAAATGTTTCGCTTTATAATGTACAAACCTTCCAACTATGTTTATCACAATGATCGGCAGTTGTAAAGGTATTTATGGCTGCGAAGTACATCACCCACTCTCTAACAGTTACATGCGAAAGATAAAATATTTTCAATATTTTCAAGGTATTCCACAACAGAATCACTAAAACTGTGATCGCATAATAAAACAGTGTGCATTTATTTTTTTGTAAAATTTTGGGTAAATGTGCGCATTTAGATTTCGCATTTAAATTCTAATAAACTCGTATTATAATAATTGACTGAACTGTGTTTGAAATTATAACGACAAATGCTTGATTCTTATTTGTGAAGTAAATTGTTAATTAAAAAAAACTTTTTGCGTCGAATACAAGCGTATTCGTATTTAGCCGTTATATGTCCCGTAAAGGGCAGTTGGTCTCGGCGCTGTTAGATCCCGCGATTCCCAGTCGGTACCCAACAAGGAACGTGCGGTGTCTCGAATTCGCTTTACCCTCGTGACTTCACAAGCGCGTAGGAAACGTAGAAAACCAACCATTCACGTAGAAAACCAACACAGCCAGCGACGACGGTTTCGCGGTCGTGACCTTTTAGTAGAACCATCCCAGCATTCGCCTGGATGAGGGAAACCACAAAAACCCCGCTCAGGATGACCGGCACGGGGATCGATTCCGGACCCTCCGAATGCGAAGTAAGTGCGCTACGCCCTCAGGCACTTCGCTCGGTACGTGGCCTCAATGACAAATTCTTACAGACTCACTCCGGCCTTGGCGATTATGGTCTTCCTGTCTGTGACAATCTTCAACTACATGGGAACCGGACCTCTGTGGCACAGTCGGCACAACAAGATAAAAGAAGAGTGCTCAGACAACTGGTGGACCAATCTGCTCTACGTGAACAACTACGTGAATCCTGACAGAATGGTAATTCAATTCAATACACTGGTGTGTACTATATAAGTAGGTCAGATATATTAATCTAGCTTTCTTTAATGTAGGTAGTTCTAATCGCCGCTAAGCAGATCTCATAGATACACTAATCTCCAACATACCATTGCTGTCACGTATAGAATGCGAATATGAGACGTTTTATCGTGTCGCAATGCTATTGGCATACATATTCAGAATATATATTGTAATTCTTATTAAAATATTTCTCAAGAATGTTAACTGTCACCACACACTCGCCTTTCTATGTGAAAGAGGGCGGAAAATTTGTTCCTCCGTATCCGATAATCATTATACGATCTTGTTATTTCACATATTAAATTCCAATAGCATGGTTCGCAGTTACCTCGATCGAGAATCGACCCCAGGTCGGGTGATTTACGCCCTATTGCTCTGAGCACTGAGCTACCGAGACCACGTATTCTCCTGAATTGTTCTTGGGCTCGTATACTGACCATGTATTTGATATTAATTGTCACCATTGTAACTCTTGGGCGTAGGCTAGGATATCCGGACTCCATTTCCGGTCGGGGTAACGTACGCTTTGAAACTGTCAAGACGAAAACTTGAACGACTTATTTATTAGAGAAATTATAAACTCTCCATTTTTTCCATACAAATAAAAATAGACACACAAATTCTTATCATACAATGTAGGCGTTCACGGCCTGTTTCTACATCATAATTAGTTGTTTTCGGGTTTGAAGGCCGTGGTCCAACGGAGACTAGTCCAAACGTTTCGCCTGCAACTGTGGCAGGCATCATCAGTGGCGTTGCTGGCGGGGGCGAAGTGCTGGCGGGGGCGACCTTATTTATGATGACAAATTCTTATGTTTTAAATAATAAGTTGGTTTTGAAATTCCTGCAAATAATAATATTTGGGAGTAGGATTTACTACGTCCAGTGAAAACAGATTAAAAGTCAATAAATTTGACTCGCTTTCGCTTTGAAGAGTTCAGTTCGTTAGGAAAGTGCTTATTTTGGCGCTGCACACATTTCACTGACGTGCGTTTGGTATTCCCAGTGCCTTGGCCATACGTGGTACCTGGCGGTCGACATGCAGTTGCACTGGCTGTCCCCGCTCGTGCTGGTGCCTTTGTGGAAGATGAGGAAACGCTTGGCGATGGGCTGGGTAATCTACTTGATCGCACTCGGCTGGGCCATTCCCTTCACCATTGTGTACATCATGGAGCTTTACCCTGGCATTTACGTGGGGCCGTAAGTACATACACAATACTCACTTTTATTTTTGCAATCCATTTTTTCGAAAAACAATTTCAAAATGATTAATAACCTTTTTACTTTAACTTTTTTTAGTTTAAAAATTATTCGTTTTCACTGAATAAGCATAATTGTAAAGGTTTAGCGTAAGAGCTTCCCAATTAATGACACACACACGTGAAATAGAAACTTTATTCTGGAGTTGGGTGTACGTCGCCCACTAGGAGAATGCAAATAAAGTATCATAATTCTACATATGCGTGGGAATATAAGTGTTATTTTAATTACAGAAGAAATCAAATCAGGATGAGAGAATCATCAATGTATGTGGAGCACATAACTCTACGTATGTAAAGTCATACACAGTACCAAAAATTGAATTCATTTTTAAAAATGCATCAAACTAAATATTTGTCAATAAAATTACAATTATCGTTTACATACATTTATCACGTGATAAAACAGTCTACATGAATTTTACATTTACGTCTCTTTTATAACTTTCTAGGCGAATCATCTAAAAGGGAAGTCATTTTTAAAAAATTGCATTATTTTTAATGGAGAGTGTAATTTTACAATTGTATCTGAAAAATGCTATTACTCACATAATATTTATTTTACTGAGAGGTGGAAAACATAAATAAGCTTTCCTTTGCCGACATAATTTTACATTATATTTTCTTTTATGATACTCTTCAACTTTTACAACACAGTCCTATAATATCCGTTACCAGCATAATCTACAACAATTGTTAGTGCAAACGTTGACCATTTTCCTCGTGTGTTATATTTTGCAGAGCGGAAAAGCGTTCCGAAACCATGAAGTACTACTACTGGCCGACGCATACACGTTTCGTACCTTGGCTGTTGGGAGTGCTTCTGGGATACATTCTGCGAGAATGCCGAAAGGAAAAGCCCGTCATCCATCCCGTAAGTATTGTTGTTCTTATTTTCTGTATTAAATTAGCAATTATAGATACATGAGTTACGTTGTTCTCCTGTAAAGCAACCTAAACGAAAAGGATGAAATAGGAACGTCAAAAATTATTTATGAATTTGTCTTAATATTTCATTTAATTGATGAAGAGAAACATTTGCAAATGTTTCACAACGCTGGATTATATAAAGGTTTTTATTGACAGAATCAATCGAATTTGTTTTCAAAATCTAAGACTAAGAGAATGAAAAGCATGTTTTCCAACACGATTCTAGAAAAAATAAGAAATCTAAACTTAGATAAAATAAAATAGAGTAGTTTATTTCCTAATTCTTTTTTCAATCGAATTTTAACTCACCAGTAGAATGTCGGACTCAGAATTAGGCACTAGCTCCTCGATCTCAGGTCAGCAGAACGCGGCATTCACTGACATCTCTCACATGAAATACAAGGGAAAAACGTTCATGTCCAGGCGGAATTAGAATGCACCATTCTCAGTTAAGAGCCGGTGAATTGTCTCCTCCACTTTAACCATCCACGCGGACAAAACATGCGATATAAGTTACAAAAGTTGGTACAAACGAATTGCTAATAATTAGTGTGCCATTTTTAATGGATTAGTGATGTAGAAAAAGCAAATCAATGGCCTATTCATATCAGTTAGCTTATTTGAAAAAAAGTTAATATTTCATCTCTATTTCACTTCATATTTTACGACCAGGCGTAAAATAGAGCTTGAAGCTGTGGTCTACAGAACAAGAAAGGTCTATTTTGCATTCACTTGCGTAAAATAACATGTTGGCTACTTTTTTTAACGCAGAATTTTCAATTTCAGGTGTTGATAACATGTGGGTGGATTACATCGACGGTGCTGATGACTGGCGCCCTGAACGCGGCCTACCCGTTTCAGCAGCCAGGCTGGAAGTACAACCGTGTGGAGGCCGCCTTTTGGCTGTCTCTCTTCAGACCGCTGTGGGCCGTGGGGTTGGGCTGGATTATTTTCGCCTGCGACCAAGGATACGGAGGTGAGAGAGAAACCCTCCTTAAAACTCCGAATATTAAAAGCAGGGGAGAATACTCTTTATGTAGAATATTGCATTCCATCGATTTTATATATTTTATCAGAAAGTATTTCAATTGCAGAAGATTGCGGGTTTGAATATGAAGTGTAATTTACTGATGTATAGTGATTCTGATTCAAACATTCGAACTTGAGGTTTTGGAGGACAATCAGGAACACAGAATGGGTGAAAATTAAATATAATGAACATGAATTAAATGAAACTGAAAAGAGAAAAGAAATTGTTGAAGATAAATAGAGAAAATAAATTGAAGTACATTTCTTTCTTTGTACACATCTTTGTACACATCTTTGTTTCTTTCGTACACATCTTTGAAGAAAGATCAATAACAAGAAAACAATAATGTCCGATTTAAAATATTAAATTGAAGCGGAATATAGTTAATTCTAAGAAGAAAAGAGGTTAGCTAAAAAAATAATAAAAAATAAAAAATTTAAAAAAAACAAAAAAAAACGAGACTATGGTTGTAGCTGATAATGGTTACGTTTCGCAATTGAAATGTAGAATTCTTTTGTACTGAAATACTTTAGTATATTGTTGTCAGTATATTACTTTACTATACTATATTATATTACAGAATAATACTTCAGTATATTGTTGGTCGTTAAACAACTAAAGTCTCTCATGAAACGTTTTTCAACAGTGGGCCCATTCTGACAGTAATACGGTAATATCCTCTCGTGCTTAAAGAGGTCGTGAGCGGGTCTCCTGGAATCCCGTCTTTTGTAAAGCGACTGTGGTTACTGCTTTTTTTATCATATTTGAAATCTAGTAATATTACTGTTCGTACCACGTAGTTTTCTTTACAATTCCTTTCGTTTTCTTAAGTTACAATTGAAGGGTATCTAACATGAACCAAACAAGGCCAAAATTTGAAGTCGTAGGCTTCCGCGACCAGAGTCATGTGGGTGATCTGGGCTGTCCGGGTGACGCCGCGTCGAAGGCTGAGTTGCCGACGTTTCGACTATCCTGTCGTGGTAGGGCTGGTATGATACCATGTATGGCGACGCGGCGTCACCCGGACAGCCCAGATCACCCAAGGACAAAATTTCTTATTTTGAGATAGTTCACCAAGTTATTCCCTATAACTGGGTCTATCTGTTAGGATATTTCGTTTCGGCAAATGCCAAACACATTGAAAGATATAAAGCGGGTGAAAATCATTAATTTATCGCTACGCGCGTCTAGGGAATGACGTTTTTGGTGTCCTTAAAAATCTCGAATCTCGAAATCTCGAACTAGTTTGGTTCTTGAAAAAACCTGCAACTCAATTAATTTGCTTGCCTCGATGCAAGGTACTAAACAGTACAAGCAAAATTTCTTTCTAATTTTACAGGACTAGTCGATAAGATTCTCTCGTGGAATTTTTTCCAACCGTTGGCTCGACTCTCCTATGGGGTCTATCTGACACACATCACCATACTGAACCTGTTTGCTGGCGTAATTCAATCGCCTGTCTACTTAGCAGATGTGAACGCGGTAAGTTAATATAATTTTAATTATCTCAAATTTAATATTATTGAGTATTGAACTGACTAGTGAATGTGTTTGATTACATATTGTGGTTTGAAGTGCAAAATATTCTTTTAAACCTTCATTATGTTTTATTATGTATACAAAGCTTTCTCAGCTATATTAAATATTGACTGATGTAAGAGATTTTGTCCACTATGATACGTCGATAGTTACAGTGTGAGATTAAAAAACAAAATGCTTAGAAAATATAATGAATCAAATGTCATTTTTTTGGCATGTAATTTTGCTGCATCGGATTTCGCATATTCGGAAATATCTCGATTTACCAGGACATTAAAAGCACTGAGTGCATATATTGCAATGATGTTTGAAAGTGGTATTACCAATGTAAGCACTATCAAAACCAATTGTCAACACAATAAAAAATACATTAACGCCAATACGCTCAGTTTTAATACACATAACTGCAGGAAAATATGAAAACCAAACCTTATAGTTGGGCCCTCCTTTTATGCTCGTTTTTTATATTTCTAAACCTGATATGGCGACGATTCCTTATGCTCGTATAGTTATTTCTCCTTGATTCGACAGTCTCCAACAAGCATTGTGCGTGGCAGTTATTATGACATTCACAAAAGAAAATGTATTAAGTCTTTATATAATGTTGCGCATACATAGAATGGCGGTAATGATTTTCAACAATATGCAATTGTTGTGTTCAACAGATACCCCAGTTCTTTGGAGTACTCATCATGTCTGTGGCTTGGGCTATACCTTTAGCTCTACTCTTTGAATCACCCATCATATTACTTGAAAAGGCCATTTTGGGTAAGTACTTGTACCGTTCTTCCGGAACTATATAACTAGTGATGGTATGAATGTGGCATTTATCGCTTGAAGAGCTTTTGGGATGACACTGAAGAATTCCCTGCATCAGAAAGTCATATTTATGTTCCAAATAGGAAAAAAAACCTTTTCCTCGAAGTGTAATTTTTAGGGTGACAGAAACATCTTAGAAAAGTGTATTTAATTTTTGTAAAAATAACTCACTGCTAACTTTGCCTAAGTATTACTCAGTCACAAATCTTTGACGGTCAATTAAAGTGTTAGTTTTAATTACACATTCACCTCGATGAAGAGCTTTCAACAGCAGTATGATGAAGACTACCAATGATCTGGGAAACTTTCGAAACCCAATGATACATAAGCATCGTTTTAGCTATACAATGGCTATGTTGTATAGAATTCTGATATTTCCAATAAGTAGCCCGTTGAGATATTCAAACGTATTTCATTTATTGCATGCCTACTTAGAAATATGAAAAAAAAATCTTGTAAATGTGTAATGCATAGAAAACGTTTATGCATGTACGAAATTTGCGGATGAGCTGCAGGAAATATAAAAAGTCCATTGTTTTCATTTCTCTCCTATCTCTTTCTCAGGTGGCGGCCGGCGGCCGGCTCCTGCGGCGGACAAAGAACAGGGAATAAAAGAAAAAGGAGAAAAAGAAGTCCCAATTAGTAACGGAGGACCTAAAGTGTAATTCATCACGATTAACATTTTAATTTATCATCTTCATCTGCGTCTAAATCGGTGGACCGAACGACATTTAAGGAAGTAGAAGATCTTCATTTGAATTACTTTATGCCCAGACATATTTTATATTTTCATCAGTATTCAGACTTATTTAGGTTTTGTTTGGACTGAAAAAAATTGTTTTTATCTGTAGTACCACGCGTTTTAATTATTTCGAGGCCATAGTTCATTATTTTTTAGTTACTCTAGTCTAATATTTTAAATCATATTATTTATTATTCGATAGTTAATTGTGTTTTATTCCCACATCTACGAGTTCCGATTGACAGGTGTTTATTTTACATGGTAAAGAATCTTAATATGTACCTGCCTTTTGTTGAAAACGTCGACGAAACAAATGTATGTACGAAATAAAAAGTAATTATTTTTAAACAAGTCCAGATTCTAAGACACGTATGTTACTAGCAGCGAGTGAATGACTTAATAAGAGATTTATTTGAAATATGAGTATTATGTAAATAGAGAATATTGTACATATGGTGTAAATATCACACAATACTTTTTTATTGTAAGTTTAGTTAAATTTGATAATTGTGATACAATGTGGAACATAATGTAAATATTTTTTAATGAAATATATATTAATATACTTTTGTGGATTTCATTCATTCATCCATTTCTTAAGACTATCAATGACAATTAAGGTGTTTCATGCAAGTTTTTACAATACTGACGTTTTTAAATCTCGCTCATTATTGAAATAAAATTGATGCAAGTTTTATCCACCAGAATAAACATATCTTGTAAATATGAAATTTTAGCATAGTGGATTTTTTATTGATACAGTTAATTGAATTTATGCATGAAATTATTTATTTTAATGAAAAATACATAATATTTAAGATTTTCATTGCAAATATTTTTACTTTCAAAAAATGTTGAGAAACGATACATAAACCCTTTCTAAAATTCTTTGTATTTCAAGCATTGACAGCACCCATTTGTATTCTCTTATTCTTTTAAAAGTTTAATTAAAATGTAAAATATATTATATTGCAATCAAACAAATAAGAACTCTCCAGCGGTAAATTAATGTAGCCTACATACTTTGGATTCCCGTGGATTTGTCAATTATCTTCACCGAGAAGATAATCGGCTTAACTTCAATTTTCATAGTCTACAGGTATTGAAATAATGCATTTACCTGTGGATAACACAAGTATACACAATAAAACAACTATACACAATAACCGCAATTGTTGCCATTATGAAAAACGAAAACACGCCCTTTACACATCCACCATCTTATTCATCGTATTGTATTCATAGTATTCAAAATTGTTTTCAAAATTGTTTGAAAGTTAATTTTTCACCAGTTTATTAAAATATATAACTGTTTTATTACACTGAATAATGAAATTATACAATAATTTTCATAAAAATCGAGCTGGTTAATCTGACTCAAAAATGAGATGAATTTTCGCATCCGTGTGAAACAGTTATATATTTAACTTAGCAATTATGGAAGGTTTTATATTTCCATTGTATAAAATAAAGTAGTTTAAACATCGCGATAAAGAGCCGTAATTTTTAGTGTTATACTCTGGTTAGTACACTAAAGACACTTCGTAAAAAAGTAAACGCTCATTTACTGTAAAATCTTTTTTAAATGTTCTGTGACTGATATTGACAGATGTGGATGGCTTCGGGAGCGAGTGTAGAAGCAAGAATTTCCGCTTTTTCTTTGTGATAGTGAAAAACAACTATTAGATCATTTATCTTTTGCTGATTATTTAGTTTTGGTTTACAACTAGTATCTTGGTGTGATCTCATTTTGGCCGAGTCGCCGATACAGAAATTGTCCTCCTCATAAATATTTCTCATTGATATTCGTTTCATTCCTCTGGCATTTCAAAAATTTCCTCAAGACGATCGGGTGGGAATTGTGTTCTTCCAAAACGCTTATCAACATATTTTTTGCTTGTTCTTTTATATAAAACCTGGAATATGTAACAAAAGCAAAATGATAGTCACCGTTATTGAGCTTACGTTTTGTATTGAACTACTTTCACCTGTTCAACCAAAAAAGAAAAGGAAACATTCTAAATAAATGATGGCATACAAATATTTTTTGTTTGTATCATGACACATGAATTATGAAAAACTATCCCCAAAATATTTTATTTCTCCCCTACCAAAATATCAGCTCCAAATGGAACTACAACTGTTTGAGGATAGTCGCTTCGTAAATGGTTGCACATAGAAACTCTACCGATAGACAAAATCTAAGCACAGTTTTTGAAATAGGGTATGACGAATAATAGAGCATAATGTTTCTGGTAATAATTTTCCTGTTTTATTAGTGTAATTGTTTCATTTCGAACAGATGAAATGGGCGTACCCTTAAACATCAATTTTTGTAAAAAAAAATAAAGAGTGTATCGAATAAAATAAATGATAAAACAAGAATAATAATAATAATAATAATAATAATAATAATAATAATAATAATAATAATAATAATAATAAATGAAGTAATCCGAGGTCGATTCAAAAGAACAACGAAGCAGACTGAGAAGTGTGGACGTAAACGACTCTTATCATGCAGCACGATCTGATCTTAACACGTCCCGCGTCGGATACCACGCCAGACGCGGTAGGCTTTGCGTATCTAATCAAGCGCTGACGGCGACCGCGGCGCGATCAACAAAATAATTACGTGAACGGGGAGCGGCCCCGAGCAGCCGACTCGACGCGACGCGACGCGACGCAACCCGTCACGCGCGGCGCTCACGTGCTGCGCAGCTGTCCACGTGCGCAGGTTGAGTTGGGAATGGCCGATTTCGTCTTGGTACAAGCCGAAGTTGCCCGTTTTTTGGAAAAATATTACTTTTTTAAATATCGCTTTTTAACTACTAGATCATTCACTAGCGACCACTGTGATTGTTTACATTGGGCTAAATGTAGGAGGAACGTGACACGTAAGGGTAACACAAGCACACATAAACATCCATACCCGAGACGGGATTCGAACCCGCCACCCTTCCAGCCGAAGCATCTACGGCCTTACTGGACCAGAGACCTCGGCTGTGTATTTATTTATTATAGTCATATATGAGCAATAACCTATTGATTCTATATCTGTGTTGTTAAATGAAAGCCATATTACTTACCTAAGCGTCTTGTTTTGCCCGATTCTACCCTACCCGATTCTACCCATCCCTTATTCTCTCCAATATATTGCAATGATTAACAATACTTATTTTGAAAAATGACTATGACACTTTTTGGGCTCTTGAAGCGCACTGTTAACTTTCTCATCATTGTTATTCTCGAAGCAGAGAACAGAGAAGTTCTTCGAAAATATTAAAACCTCCTTCATGACTCCAAAACACTCACAATTACTACAAGAACACTACATTAACGTGATGGGAAAACATTTCAATTAGTAAACTGTATTGTGCAAGAACGTCCATCTGACGATCTAACAAAAATGATGTTATGTTTTAGAACAAAAAAACAATGAAAGTAATTTTATCCGAGTATCTTGAATAAGATACAGATGTGAATGAAGCTCTTCAAGATGTTATCGTTCTAAATATCTCAAACATCTCTTTAAAACATAATTCTGAGAAAATAGACACGAAACCATAACAAAGCACTAGATCAAAATCGTTTGAGTGAAGTTGTAGATTTGGGTGTTTCCAGTACGAGCAAGAATATTATCTTTTTGCGTACGTGCAGAACTGATCTAATGACTCTTTTTTCGAGAACCAAAGATTTGTAGATTAACTTCTATAGTATAATTGAAAAGATTCCATGATGTGGGCAATTTCTCTGAAGAATGAGAATCACTAAAGGTATTAGTTAATGTAGAACGTTTTAAGGTCACGTTCAGGCTGAAAGTGGCGTGAATAAAATAAACATTGAATATTCATTTCACGAAACTCCTACCCGCAATGCCAATTGAAATACCCTCTTTCAACTTTGTCCTTCTCTCTCTAGCAGAGCATAATTTAGTGCTATTTTTCCTTCGTAGATCGCAAAGTATTTACGAAGGACATAACATGACAAGAATAATAATTGAAATTTATAGTATATTTTCACTGTACTTTTTAAATATATTTTGAACTCTAATCGACTTTTAGTAACATACTCTTAGTGCACTGAAGTTAGAATGTGCTTTTGGAAACAATTGCAAGTAATTGCAATCAATGAAGTTCTCATGGATTGCAACATCAAAACATAAATCAATTGGTAAGATAACTTTTATTTTCCATTGGTGAAGTTATCTGAATCCTACACTTGCCCCGTTCCACATTAGATACGATTGATAGTTTAAAAATAAACTTTCAGTGACCAAGTAGCGAACAGCTAAATGCAATTTACATTGGCAGATATCTATAACACGAAATATTAATGTTGCTTGATGATTATTAAGGAACTAATTCTAAATGTAGGGAAACGCAGAAAAAATATTGAACAACGAAAGTATCTTATTAAATCATTTAAATTATTAACATGTTATTAATTTTATTGACTTCGATTTTGTACACTAATTTACAATATTGAAAAGTCGTTGGCTGTATTTGTTCACTCCCCTTCATAATAATATACGACATTCTCAATACAAATACCGTCCTGTTTACAAGCAATTATTACTATTTCGTATAGCTCTCCGTATTGAGAAAGGAATGTAATACTGCAAGAACCAGTGCCTATATTTTGAGAACAAAATACGTTTGAGGATTCCTCATTCTGAAACTTTCTCACGCTTTTTAATTCTCCTACACTCATAAATTTATTTTTTCTTCTGAACTGTATAAAAATGGCGGATCCTGCGATTTGCTATCCACGTGTGAATAGGATAACAGCCTTGTTACCGTGAGAAAATTTACTTCATGCACGAAAACAGTCGTATCCCTCGGCACTGCTTCCGCATTCACGGTCCAACTACTATTTCCGAAGACATCAATCACCATATTTCAAAATAAAACAACAAACTTTCTTTCAAATATAATTTGCGCCCAGGTGAGTAGATTTTAAAACTATTATCATCCGTTGAGGCTAAAGGTATATTATTGGTCTTTAAAAAATCAACTGATACTTTAGCTTTGGTGGCTACAAAATACGTAATAATAAGAACCATACATTCTAAATTTCACGTTTCTATCTTCATTAGTTTGGCTATCCACTGACCACTCGGCCAATAATTTTCTCTTAAATTGTTTTCAATAAATAATATAGATTATTCCTCGATATTTTTCAAAATGTTGTCAGGATTTTTTGAGGATATTCCCTAAAATGGGAGATAACTAAATTCCTGTC